GCTGAGGATCGGACTCTCTGCGGGGAGCTCGTCCCAAAGGGCCAGAGCCGCCACAGAGAAGGCCCTCCCCCGGGTAGTAGCCAGATGACATTGGCTGGTAGACAGAACCCGGAGGAGGCCTAAACTGTGTGATCTAATGGGTCTTTGTGAGGTAATTGGCAGCAGCGATAGGGCAGCACAGGCCGCCCACCGCCATGATTTCCAGACCCCCTAAAGCCTCCTGCCACGTGGGTGCCCTGCCCAGGAGATCGGCCCCCTGCTTGGCTTTCCTCGGTCCTGCTGGGTTTAATCTGCTCCCAGCCCCCTCCTCCTCCTCCAACTCCAATTCTACTCTCCCACTCTTCCTCCTCCCAGCCAGAGAATTAAATGGGTTTCCCCGCCGGGCTCAACCAGTTAGCCGGCTTCAATAGCTTTGCAGAACCTTTGGACATGAAATAAATAATGGAACAATTATTAGGCTCCTTCCCAGACCTCCCATTGCTGGTGGAGGAGTCTGGCAGGCGGTGGTTCAGGGGCCAAAGCCGTGTTTCCAAAGATGGACAGGGCCCCCAAGAGGCCCCTGAAGCCTAAACTCTGGCGTGTCCCTGAGCAAGGAGAGTGGCTTTCCCTCCACGGGTGGAAGTGGGCTGCAGCCGTGGCCCAGGTGGCTCCCCAGCCGCTGCCTCCTCCTGGCCTGAGACAAAAGGATTCCCCAGCCGGTTGTCCCAATTCAGCCACCGTCTCTGTGTGCTCACCGACACGCCAGGAGAAAGAGATTTGAAGCTGGACAAGGGACCCCCTCCATCTCAGGGGCCCTCTGGCCTTCCAGGCCTTCGGCAGCGTTCAGGCTCACCTGCATTTCTTTGGGTGCTCGTCCCTCTTGTTGTTGAATTCCAGGGAGATCTTCGCGTCCAAGCCGATGCCAAAGTAGTTATTCATGACGCACCTTTCAGAGAATTGCCTGCAACCGGCAGGAGGTGAAGGGAGAGGAAATAGTTCAGCAAGGAGCGCCGAAGCAGAACCAGCGACACAGGATCAGAATACAAATTGTGGGTCTGTTTCCACAGTTTCGGAGCGCTGCAGGGAGGGGGGCAAGAGCCTTTGGACACCAGCGCAAGAGGCGCCGAGGGGGGAGGGGGGCTAGGTGGCTGTAAGATCAGACTCCTGATTGATGCTTCCTCCCAGTCTCCCAAAGCAGGCTAAAATTAAACAGAGCCCTGGCTAACTTCCAGAGACTCTCCATGCGTCTCCTTGAAGGAGGTTAATGGGATGAATTGGGCCAAGCTTTTCAAGGTCACTTTGAAGTGGTGGAGGCTGTCCAAGCCTTTTTTTTTGGGGGGGGGGGAGATTTGCTGAAGCAGGTCTGGCCAGCAAGGAGATGGGCGGCCTTCTTCCTGGGGTCGTTCTGTCTCTTGTGTGAGCCAGTGGAAGACAGGGAGTTTCCCGTGCAAATACCCCCGGCTGTGCCGTCCTTCCCTGCCAGAGCCCATTCATGCACAGGGGACTCTTCAGGGCTCTTTGGGATGGAGACGGGCCATTGGCTTAAAATGTCTTTGCTGGACTGTTTGCCAGGCCTTTTTTAAATGCCGTATGGAGGGAAGAGCAGAGCTAGCAATTCTGGCCCCATGGACTGGCTCTCCCTCCCACTGTGCGCAGGCCAGAGAGGCCTCTGATGCGGCCCTTCCTCCCCTCCTCCAGAGGAGACTCACACAGCATCGGGGTCCTCGGAGAAAGGGGTCGGCGTGAAGTGCTCCGGCTGATCCAGGAAGAGGGAGGAAGTGGTGGAAGTGACCGTATCACGGCGGGACTCTGGAAGAGACACAGCCAGAGAACCTAAGCAGTTCAGGGGAGGGGGCCGGCCTCGGCAGCCCCCATGCCACCCCAAACCCACTCAGGATGGAGCCCCTGAGCCTCACCCTCCCTCCCTCCTTCACTCCAGGGCCTGCACTCCTGCCCTCCCAGCCCCAGTCCTTCATCCCGGAGACTTACTCGGTGCCTCTATCTCCTTGTTGATCTCCTCGCCACTGTCCTTCTTGCTGGCCACTGAGAGACTCCGGTAGGTCTGGGTCTGCTTGTTCTGCTCATCCACCGCTGGCAGGGAGAAATACAAGCACAAGCCCAGCTCACCCTAAAGAGGGACTGGCAGAGCCTGCAGTTTCCCCAACCAGCACATCAAATGTGATTTTAAAAGGACTATTTGCTCTACCAGAAGCAAAACTATCTGTAACAAAAGGACGGAAAGCACTACGGCATCAACTGGCACTGGAGGCAGCATCCCCTCTGCCCCAGCGGCTTTGGCACCATCAAATCATCTCCACCACGGTTCTGTTGGGAAGCCATTCTTGATCTCCTGCCTGCCCACCCTCTGCGTTGGCCCACCAGAGCCAGTCTCTGGCCAGTCCAGCTTTGCACCTCCCTCCGTTTCCCTGCCGGCCCACAGACGCAGGGCCGCCTCTCACCCTTCTCCGCCTGGTCGATGATCTGGCGCAGCGCCTTCTTGAGGCTGTTGGCTCTAAGCATGAGCTGCTCCTTGGACTTGAAGATGCGAGGAGGCCGAAGGCTGGGCTGGACGGCGCTCTGCTCCTTGACCTCAGGGGCCGCAGCATGGCCTTCCGGCACCACGGTGGCCTGGGACTCCTCATTCAGCTCGCGGACCAGCGAGTCCAGTTTCTCGCTCAGTGTGGCACACTAGAAGTGGGCAAAGGCGATCAGCTGCGCGGGCTATGCCTGCAGCTTCAACACACACCCCCTGGCCTGGCCCAAGTAGGGAAGGTGGGGGATAACCCCCACTGCTCCCCAGAAACACAAAATAAGTGATGCCCAGCAGATCCCCGGTTCTCTTCCCAGCATTTTCTCATCAACACTCTTGCAATCCTCCCCACAACCTCCTAACTCTGCTCTTGACACTCTGGGCAGCCTCTTACCTTGCCAGCCATGATGGCTGCTTCCTGCTTGTTGTCAGCTGCCCGTCCGTAAGCTTTCCCCACATCAGCTACAAAGTCATTCACTGTCCCGCAGAGGAATCTGGGAGGAAGAGAAAGCAAGGTTGCAACTCCCAAGCAGCTCAAGACGGACCCTTGAAGGCAGCAAAACCCACAAGCCATTGTGGGGGGGGGGGAAGCTTCTGTTTGGTGGTGGGGGAACTCAGAACGAGAACATTTACACTTCGCCCGTTATTCTCCGGAGCACACGGATGAGAGCTGCTGGATACAAGGAGATAAAATCTATGTAGAGTACGAGATGCACTCTCGGTGCGCATTAACCTATATTCCCAGATGCTCAGAGGTGTGGGGGGGGGGGAACAGCAGAACCCCATTTAAATGGGGGTGGGGGCAGAAGAAAAGCAAACGGCGCCATGTTGCAATTCTCACCAGAAAGGAAAGTTCCCACAACAATGAGGCCAAACCTACAATGGGGCTTGGAAGGGGTGGGTGGAATGATGCAAAGGTTGCTACGACTTGCAAGCTATCGTGGTGGGGCTTACAACTGGTAGTTCCCCCCCCCCCCCCTGGAACCGCATTGCCCTTACTTGGCCGAGGAGATCACCACCGAGTGTTTGTCGGACTCTAGGATCTTCGCCAGGTGGAGGGCCACCGAGTCAGCATAGTGAGAGATCTGAGCCTAAGGGAAGAGAGCCCACCGTCCCTTAGCCCCCAGTCCCTCAGAAGGATACGGAAGGATACGGGACCCCCCACCCCGCTTTCAAGCAGGCCTCCTGCCAACCTGGATGGTGGGATTCTCGCTCTCGTCTTCCTCGAGGGCGGGGCCCGACTGCTTGGGGGCCTCGTAGGTCAGGACGCTCCACCTGCAGGGGAAGGGAAAAGGGTCTGCAGTGCTTCCCACCCAGATACGGAGACGTGGGAGGCTCCTCAGGGCTGAAATGGCAGGGCATATCCTCCCCACTCCGCGACAGGAGCTAAACTGCTGCCAATTACCTCCAATAGACCGATTAGATCCCACAGATTAGGCCTCCTCCGAATTCCATCCGCCGGCCAATGCCAACTGGCGACTACCCG